AGTCGACGAGAGTGTTATTTCCATCAATAGGTCTATGATGAAGTTAAACAATAGTGGAGAAAGTGGACAGCCTTGACGGACACCACTTGAGGTTGCAAAAGCAGATGACAGTTCGCCATAAGCCCTGACTCAACTAGTAGTTTTGGAGTAAAGTGCTACACAAGGTTTATGTACTACTGAGGTACACCTTTCAATGACAGACACTGCCACAGAATCTCGCGGTCTACCGAGTCAAATACTGCTTTTAAGTCAAGAAAGACCACCATTGTCGGACGCCGATAAGTATGCCTTTGTTCTAGAATCTGACGAATGGTGAATATGTAGTCGATGCAGCCACGACCAGGTCTGAAGCCAGCTTGGCTCTCTCGTGTTTGCAGTTCACGAGTCTTAGTTAGCCGTTTGATAATTATCGAGGCTAGTATTTTAAATACAATATTTGTTAAACTAATCCCTCTGTGGTTGTCACAAGATGATTTTGACCCTCTCTTATATATTGGGACGATAAGTGATCATGACCAGTCAGATGGAATAACGTCTAACTCCCAGATCTTAGCTAAAATATTAGTCAACCTAATCGCTAAGTGTTTTATCTTAGTGTGGTTATGGACGCTTATTGCTAATCATAATGATTTGGACACTAGTGACTAATTGTGAACGGTTATTCTTAGAGTCTGTTAAACAATAACTACTTAAGTTCATTCACGTCGGAAATCAGTCAGTTACACATTAATCAGACTGGGAGATAGTTGTGCGCTTTTACGAATGAACTAAAGTTAAACAATTCAAAGCATTTTGGAAACTGACTCAATAGTCTAAGGATTCAGTACTTACTGCCAGAACTAGGTTTAATCTTCAGTGAGATCATGAATTCACACTGCTGACTCCTAAAATACTAAGATGAAACATCTTAGTTCTATTTCTTCTCGATTTGAAAATATGTGAAATAATCAATGTCTAGTCATGACCTTGGTTAACAAAGTGCAAAATTTATCTGATTGAAATCATGAGTCAATTGAAGCTAGATCACCATGAAAAACCTGGAAGCACTGAATGGCTCTTTTGTCCCAGTATGGGACTCATCAGCGGCGCGCATCCACGATCTCGAGCCTAGGCCCTATCAGTCTCGCGCCAGGCGCTTAACCAACTAGACCAGTGGAGTTCAACCAGGTCTGGTGTGAGATATCACCTCACTAAGGACAATGGTGTACAGTGGCGCAACTTCGTGGATTGGTTGAAGTTAGACATTAACACAGTCGGATGCCGGTTCAGTAGTCTAGTTGGTTAAGCGCCTGACGCGAGACTGATAGGTCCTGGGTCCGAACCTCGCGAGGTACGGGATCGTAGATGCGCACTGTCGAGGAGTCCTATACTAGGACGTCCAGTGCTTCCAGGTTTCCATGGTGGTCTCTCTTCAATTGACTCATGATTTCAATCTGTGAAATTTCTAAAATCTCCACAAAACCTCTTCTGGCACAAAATTTATTTCAATGTCCTGTAGTTTTCATCCATCATTTATTCTTTTTTTTTAACCCAACTATCTTGTGTTTCCTTTCTATTTCCTTCTTCAAATAATCAATAATCTTGACATCTTTTTTACTATTGATTTCTTGTTGTGTTAATCAGTATAAATTTGTCATAATATTTATTCTATAGTCCCATCTCTAATGGTTTATAACGAACTAAATTGTAATTCTAGTTTGTATTATTACTCTCTGATAGGCAGAGTCATTTCCACTTACACACACACACACACCCATAGATGTATTATTATTATTATTATTAATCATTCATCAAACAATACCTCTCTTTAAGTTATAAACATAGAATTAATGGAAACTTTGTTTATACTTCCAATACAGAAAGGAACCTTAAAATTGATTGATCGATTGAACAATCTATGTACTTTAAAGAATGAATGAATAATAATGTTGCTGTTGTCGATGATGATTCATCGGGTTTTTAATTATGTTTGTACACAGAAATTCTGCACACAAACACCATCAAAGTTATAAAAAGCAAACAAACAAATCTCTATATTCATCTGTCCCTATTAATAATATTATTGTGTTCTGTTCTGTTTTTTTCTTTTTGTATTGTTTTTCATGTGTAGTTATGTTTTAAACAAAGAAACGACCTTGTGTATCCAATCATTTAATGAAATGGGAAGCTATTGTTATGTTGGTTTTCTTTTTTTTGAAAAAAAATTCTCTCAATCTATACTTTTCTATTAAATAATTACCCCCTTTCTTTTATTTCCATGCTGTGCAAACATATGTATTTACCATACACACACGCACACAAAAGTGTGTGTATGTGTGTTCATAATATGCACTTTAATAATTATGTATCATTATCCGGTTACTATACTTAACTAACTACCATTGTTGCGATAAAAAAACACAACATGGATGCTTATTTTAAATATATACTACCTAACAGAATGAGTAATATTAACTACTGATATACATGATGGATAATTATGGAATCAGAAAAAATTGAAATGAGTTCATTATACTCTCTTTCCCTACACCTTTTTGATGTAATGTGTGGAAGGTTCTTGTGTTTCCCTTCTCATTTTGTTTTTTCTTTCAAATAAAGCGATTGTAGGTTTCTTTTTCTTTTTATGTATGTTTGTATCTATGAGGTATCTTATAAATTATGTAGGATTATTTTGAATCTGTTTGCATTTGATGGCTGAAGTTATCCTCTACGTTTTCAATATTCACCGGGTTTATTGTAACCAGGAAGTTCAACTATTTAGTGGATGTGTTTTGGATATTTGAATATAATTTCCACCATAGATTTTATTTTAGACAATTGCAATCATCTGTGATTGCTTGCGTTGTACGTGTCCATTGTAGCGCAGGTGATAAATTACTTGTAATATCCATCCGATGAGTAAAACGAAAAGAGGTAATCAATATTGTTAGTGAACATTGGAAAGCGTTCCTGTTAATCTTAACTCACGTATTTTCTCCTGTATATGTTATTGTTTATGTAGTGATTTGAGATACTTTCCTTGTTAAAAAAGATAGAAAGCAAAACAATCTCCACAATATTGTCATTATTCTTTATGATGATGTATGTTGTCTATTTCCTGGGCTTCATTATTTCTATATGTAAATAAATTGTACTTTTCAATTACTCAGTTAAAAGCCCCTCAATGCCCTGGTATGGCCGAGAGAGTGGGGTAGGCCCACCCTCCCTCTCGAAATGCTCTCACACTGCCACGCGTATATACAGCCTCTGCCAGAAAAGTCCTACTCACTGCCTTCTCGTGGCGGTGTTGTTTACGAAAATGGGAGGACGAAAAGCGAATGTCCAGTACTTTAACTGGATCCCAAATCAGTGGTGCACATGGGCTCCAGCATCCTGCGGGAACAAATGGCGTTGTTGGTCACTGGCTACTACGGGACTACATCTCCTCACGATGCTCCACTGCCTTGTGGATCAGACCTTCATGTCGAAGGCTCCGGGTGTGGCCCCCTAAGAAGACCACCTGCTTCGGTCTGGGGACCCGGGCAGTATCATAGCCCTCACACAAAGGAGTGGCGCATATATATTTGGTGCCCTCTTATACCAATATTTATGTGTTCAAATAAATAAACAATAAACTCAGTAAAGAGGTTTACATGCTATTCGTTTCCCATCAGATTAGTTATATTATTACTTATGTCTCATTAATATTGAAAGTTTTTTTATTGCTTTCTAGAAACCTTTCTTGTTGTCGTTGTTGTTGAATTGTGTCGTGATCCCACCCCCACCTCACCCCCACATACACAAAAAAAAGAATCTACCATTAAGCTTAAAAAGATTATGTCAAATTAATCAAGATCAAGGAAGTATGTTTAAGGTCATGAGAAAAAAATCTTCAACTAACATATTAACTATCTCAGTTGTAACAAAGAGAGAAAGAGAGAGAGTGAGAGAGATCACATCATGAAATACTTACAAACTATTAAATTGTTAAAAACATAAAACATTATCTCATGTTATTGTGACTCAGTGATGTACCATCCATAACAATGTTTAATAAGTTTAGGATCAAAGTTTAAAATTACAAATAATGTGATATACAATTTCACAATTAAAGTTTAATGTATTATAATGAGCTAACCCTAAATTCTAATTATTAAGCTTTAAAAACATGTACATAAATTCACTATTATGGCTGTTGTGACTTTAAGTTGGGTCGATTTTTACCCTGTGCTAATTGTTGTGTCCTTGACTGAAAAAACTAGAGAGCAGCGTATTTATCGACCGATTCAATGACACGTAAACACGTACGAACGTAATGGACGATCTAGAGTTACGATTGGCCCTGATTCCCTGTCTATCCCAGCCAGTCGAGTCCAGAACACAAATTTCAGCCTCTGAGTTATGAATCATTGTATTTCAGACATACTCTATTTATATACTAACCAAACATACCACATCGTACCATAAAAATAGAAAACAACATTTTGTACCATATTCAACAAGTGGACAGATATCGACCAGTAGGAAATGTCCATTTAAAGTCCAAGGACACCATTGGACTTGACATGATAATTATTGGTCTATCCTTCGCATCCACAACAATGGCCGAAGATGCAAAGAGTCAGTTCCCCTTCTCCAAATGCTCTTACTGATTGCATTCTCGTGGCATGGGTGTTGTTTATGAAACTGAAAGGACGAAAAGTGGAATGTCCAACGCTTTAACCGGGTTGATGGTTAGAGAGGATCTCTGTAGGGGGGAGTTTGGAAACCCTGATTCCAAACCAATGATGCACATATAGGGTCTAGGATCTTAAAGGAAGAAATGGCGTATGAACCTACTTTTGGTCACTGAAATCGTGTGACAAATTATACCACATATATATTTGGTGCCCCCTTACAAAAGTCCATTAATCATGTAAAAATACGATATTCTGTAGAACTAATAATGATTTATTGAAATTTCTTCAATAAATATCTATATTCTTATCATAATTACTTTCTCTTTCTCTCTCGTTTTTCAGGCTGCAGCTAAAGATCCAATTAATTGTTCATTACCTGCATTAAATTTATCAGTGAAAGATCCAATTGCTTTTGATGCAATTTATCGTCTTGTATTGAATTCCGCTGAATCTGGTGGTCTTGGACCAATTCAATTATTTTCATTAGCACGTTATATGGATAATTGTGGTTGGACATGGAGAGCATTTCCTTTTGCACTACATGCTACACGATTATTTGTTTTGTCAACAACTCAGGTAAAAAATAAAATTGTTAGTATGGGATGCTTTTTTGGAAATTATTGTTTTACAGCTTATATCATGAGCTGAATTTCGTTAGATAAGCACTGAATCACTAGGCAGTTTTTTCGTCCTACTAAGCTACTCCACAACAGTGTTCATCGTCGAATCCTCCAGGTCGTATGTGACCTACCTTAAGCAGTTGTACTTTGGGCACTGCGGTCACGCTTTCAGGTTACTAAGACCACTTCTAACCCAATCTCCTTTTCAGGTACCTCCAGAAGAACTGGAAAGTGATAATTGCCTTTCATACCTACAACAGCACTCAAGGTCACTGACATCTAGAAACTATATGCTATTATTCCGTTCTTCCTCTAGTGTAAATTATCCTTTTTATGTTATTTTTCTAATACTATGAAAGTATCATCTATACCGCAACAGTGTTACATGACTGATTGTGTTTTTAAGTTGTCCATTTTCCAGGTTTTAAAAAAACATCTGCCAGTTTAGGGCCCGATAGTGACCTCATGGCTACCCCATCTAATTGTCTATAGTATTCATAGTTAAATAGTCAGTGGACATTTATCGTGTATCTAAGATCTAACAGTTTATTACGCATGTGGGAATTAAGGTTTCTATGCACCTCTGTTATTTCATTACAAATGAATGATTTCAAATAAGGGAATGTTAGTGAATAAGGACGATATATCTAGTGATATCATGAAGTTATTCTTAACCAACGTATCTTTTTTTAGATTATCAACAAAATCAAAAGTCCTTGATACTGTGCTTAACAATTTCTTTAGGCGATGTTTTATGGTGTAGGAGTACGTTGAAAGAAATCTAACAACAGCCAGACCAAAATATGGCACGAATCCATGAAGTCACTGACAAGTGGACTGAGCCATGTTGATAGTTGTAAACTACTTGATTGGGATCCACGATATGATAGTAACTGATGGTTAGAGACCTTGAATGGAATGGCTCAAAATCGTTTGCAATGGTGTGCGCGGGTGCATCTACTCTTTGTGTTCTCCCAAATTCCAATCTTCTGAATTATTTATGTCCCCTTTTTCTCTTCCCAAGTCTATTTCAATGGATTATACTTCTTGAATAACATTTTCAAACCCTAATCTTTCCGAATACTGCTTATACTCTTACTACCTCTACTACTATGGGATTTGAATCGACAACTGCATCTCTGTGCTAATGTGGTGTAGCAACTCGAACTGATGTACGTAAGAAGTTCGACGTTGTTACTGACTGTTTATACGACAGTTTGTTAAGTTAATAATGACTAGAATTAACCATATTCAATTATTTTCCTACTTTTGATATTTCTTTAAATATGTATATTTTATCTACAATATTTAAAGGAAAGTCATCCAGTTGGTAATGATGTATTATGGGCATGTCTTTTGGGGCATCGACTTGGTCCAGGAGCATTACAAGAAATATTAAATCATGTTATACGTAATATACATTGTCCAACCTTATTGACAGATATTCTACATCGTTGTCGATCTATACCATGTGGAATTCATTTAAATTCGACAAATTGTAATTTAAATATGAATAATAACAACAATAATAATATAAATGGAGTAAATTCATCACCATCAGTTATGATGAATAACAATATGAC